ATTTTGCCTGGTAATTTATGCAGCATCGAGAGCATGGAGGTATCATGTGTGCAGATATCACCATGCACAGTCTACGCAATGTGGACATCCCTGTCGACTAGTCAATTTTAACCAGACAGGTCACATAACCAGACCAAGCTCTGGGTGAGCGCTGAAAACAGCGCCGGACTTGGGTCAAGCACAGACTATCTGGCCAATCGTGCCGATGAGGGTCTCAGTAACGCAATGTCGACTACTACGGCAACGACATCATGAGCCTTGGGGTGTCGGGCAACAACGAAAGCAAGCTGAGTGCGGGATGCAGTGCATGCTCCTCGGGTGGCTGCAAGGGCTTTACGGTCAACGGCAACACGTGCTGGCTCAAGAGCAAGCTTGAGAGTCGCGGGGCGTGCTCCACTTGCCTCTCAGCGAGCCGCCCGACAAACCGGCTTCGCCATGCTTAAATAGCTCGTTTCGACAGGCACTACTACTACATGCTTCAGCGGAAAAGCATTTCTTGATCCATCAAGCTTTGGCCTGTTGTCCTGTGGATGTAACTTGGACTGAGTGCATACGAGCGCAAGAGATGCAAATGACGAGGGCGAGAAGGACCACACAGAAAACATACTGTAAGCACGACGACGATTAGGGACGTTGCAGGGACTTTGTACCGAGCAGTTCAAATATTCAAGCGACGGTATGGACCGAGCATGACCCAAGGAACCCTCGTGGATGCTCCAATACGTAGTGCGATACAGAAAGGTCTTTGACCGCGGGCACGGGCGCACTTCTATTTTGCGTGGCAGAGACAACATTTCGGGTCTTCACGTGTTGCTTGTTTCGCAATGGAGTTCCCAACGGACGGCAGCGTTCGAGCTGTCACACTAATAAAGCGAACCGTCCTTGCCGTCCATGAACAGTTTATGGGCCCTTGGGCTCATCGACCGACGCCGGCACAGTACTTGGGTCGTGAGAAACACGTCGAACAATATGCCTGCCTCTCTTGCTGCGACGCCACGACAGGCCGTGTTACAAAGACGTCGCTCGTCCACAACTACAACGTAGCTCTGATGTCGTTTCTTTTGCTTGTTTCGTGGCACTGTCTTGGGCAAACGAATCATTGGCGGACCCAGTGTCTAGCTGACGACCCGTGTGTTCCCTCTCAGTTACCCGACATCTCTCGTCGCCAGACCGGCACCATAGTACAAATATAATTGCTCAGCTACTCGCAGAGTGTGAGGTGTTACACGTATGCACGAAAACAGGTCTCTTCTCACAAAGACCAAGTTGAGAGCACGAGTCGTGTCCAGTTGGCATGCCAAGCCAAACCTCTTCTGGCCGCACGTATCCAGTTTCTAAGCAATCATATGGTTCGCAAATCATTCCCAGCGCCACTCTTTTTGCTGTGCGAGCAATGCTCGATGACGAACCTCGTGGTTCTACAGCACTCGACACTCTCGACGTAGATCGAGTACCATTTCATATTTGGCAGTCTCGACAGCAATGGTGAGTCCCAACGCGGTTCTCTCGCTGCTCGCGCTTGCTGCGCCGCTCG